AAGGGTTTGAACGTCAGGTTCCTCAGAGCAGAACTCCTGCAGTGATTGCACTGAGCCCCAGGTTGAGCCCAGCTAGGCTTAGGGCTGACCCTCTGGCCAAAGGCTGCATCTGGAGCCAGACCTGGGGGTTGGCACGGGCCCTGGGGGACTGGGCCAGGCTGGAGGCTGGAGCCAGGCGCAGGAGCTCTGCACTTCTTATTGGATCCATCACATTTCTCCCCTCTGCAAGGCTTTAAGGTCATCTGTGCCTGACTTAGGAGAACTGAGGTTGGGAACGCTGAGGGACTTTTGCACCCACACCCATGGTAGATCCTATTCTACCGTGTTAGGCTGCCTGCTCTGTATGTAAAACTAGAGATCATTGGTTTGTCTTTCTCTGACTGGAAATGTAAAACACGCTCTTTCCAGAAAGCACAGAAGAGGGTCAGGGTGAAACCACGTTCACCCTAATCCCACCCTCCAGAGCTGATGACTCGCTCCAGAGTGCACCTTGAGATCAGCGTTTCCATCACCACATCTCCAACACCTGGCATTCAGTGTCCGTGCCTCCCAGCCTTGAGAGACCGTCACAGCACTGTCACAGCTCTCCTACCCTGCTGGCTGTTGATGCTTGCTTCCTGCTTTTCCTGGCAATGGAAGTCTGTTCATATGCTCACAATATTATCTAAACAGAATACAATAATAGGATCCAAGTATTCCTTTCTCGGAGGCCAGGGAAGGTTTATGGGTAGTAAGGACTTATGTTCTTCCCAGTATGCCCAGGGCCAAGCTGTCTCCCCCACCTCCCTGGCCCTTGCCCACCAAAAACTCCTGGTCCTGTTGATCTGAGAGTCATGGGTCAGGAACTCTGACTGTTCCAAATCCCAATGACCTGTCTCTCCCCGTCCCACCCCCGCTTGTCTTCCAGGGAATTTTCCCAATGCCGAGTGGGCTGGGGGCTTATGAGCTTAGGGCAAGGGTGCAAAGGTGGTCTTTTTGCTCCCAACCACCAGTAGCTTAAAGTACGTGCACACCCTGACACCCGCATCACCATGCATCATTTCCGCCCTGTCCCTCTTTTCCCGATGTCACACATCGTTATGCACACAATCAATAAATCCCACTGGGACATGAACTTGGACCACAACTGTGTCCACACTGCACATACACAGCCTAGAGCTGCCCACTCCTTTCCCAGGGCTCTGGGGCCTGGTGAACAACGCTGGTGTCTCCATGCCCACGGCCCCCAGCCAGTGGCTGACCAAACAGGACTTTGTGGACGTGCTCAACGTGAACCTGCTGGGGACGATCGAGGTGACCCTGAGCCTGCTGCCCGCAGTGAGGAAGGCCAGGGGCCGTGTGGTCAATGTCTCTAGTGTCATGGGCCGCCTGTCGCTGTTTGGTGGCGGCTACTGCATCTCCAAGCATGGCGTAGAGGCCTTCTCGGACTCCCTCAGGTATTGGGGTGCTCTTGGAGGGGAAGACTAGGCAGGGCCTGGCAGTTGGACAGGTGGGCACAGTGGGCTTGTGGGGGTCCAGGATTCTGGGTGGGGCTGTGCATCCTGCTGTTGGCATGGAGCCCCATGGGAGAGATTGAATCAGGGAGCCACTTAGTCCAGTCGGCGTTGAGAGAGTGCCCTGGCAGGAGGACAGGGCATGGCTCTGAGTGTGGGAGGCAAGGCCAGAGGCAGACGGACACTCCCCGGAAGACGGTGGCCATGGCTGAGCTGGGACCAGGCTGGGAGAAGTTGGGTGGGGGTGGAGGAGCGGGGGTGGGGGGGTTCTATGTGCGGGACCTGGGCTGCATGGGCTGTGAGGGGACCAGGAGGGCACAGCATGGCAGTGATTGGCGGCAGAATATGTCTGACTTACAGCCAATGAGTGCCTGGGGGTCCAATGCGTGGGCCCCGAGCAGAAGCAGCGCTGTGTCCCAGTGCCATTCCCCAGCTGTGCCCTCCCTGCTCCCTGGCCTCTGCACCCTAGTGCTCTGTGGGGTTTATTGTGTGTGGAGATGTGTGTGTGTGGATTCCATGAACACTGCGTCCGTGCCCTCCACCTCTCTGCCTTGCAGGAGGGAGCTCTCCCCCTTCGGGGTGAAGGTGGCCATCATTGAGCCCGGTGCCTTCAAGACCAACATGGCGGACCCGAAGAGATTCATGCAGTCCTTAGGGGTGGCCTGGGAGCGCGCTGGCCCGGAGGTCAGGGCCATCTATGGCGAGGACTTTCTGGCAGCCTGTGAGTGAGTGTGCACACGGAAAGAGTGGAAAACTTTTTTTTTTAAGATTTATTTTATTTGAAAGATGCAGCGAGAAAGAGAGAGAGAGAGAGAGAGAGAGAGAGAGAGATCCCATTCATTGGTTCACTCCCCAAATGGCTGCAATGACCGTGGCTGGGCCAGGCTGATGCAGTAGCCAGTAACTCCATCCTGGTTTCCCATGTGGGTATCAGGTACCCAAGTACTTGGACCACCTTCCGCTCATATTCCAAGCACATTAGCAGGGAATTAGATAGGAACTAGAGCAGCCGAGACATGAACCAGCACACATATGGAATGCCCACATTACAGGAGGCTTAACTGGCTGTGCCTCAAGCCAGCCCCCTCTTCATTATTTTTAAAGAGCATACTAAAGCCAGAGAGGGGAGACACCATGGGCTCCTGGACAGCTAGGCTCAGAGAAAGTCAGTTTTCCTGTGGTCAGAGTCCCAGCAGAGACCTTCGGCATGTGTTCTGGAACATTCCAGGAAGGGCTGAAGAGGCAGCTCTGGGGGGAAGGGTGCGCACTCCCTGTGGATGAGGCTAGGTTAGGCTTGAGCCCTATCTGAGAGGATTGGGAATTCTTAAAACTCTCCTAATTTATAGCTCTAAATGGGGGAGGGGGATGGGCAAGTACTTTAAGATCTTTTCTCATCCTGAACAGACGCCAAAATGTCTGAAAATGGCCTGAAAGCATGCAAGGTGGATCTGTCCATGGTGACGGACTGCATGGAGCACGCGCTGACCGCCTGCCACCCCCGCACCCGCTACTTGCCCGGCTGGGACGCCAAGCTCTTCTACATCCCCATGAGCTACATGCCCACCTTCCTGGTGGACGCCGTGCTCTCCTGGGGCACCCCACGGCCAGCCCAGGCCCTGTGAAGCTATGGGAGGAGTGCATGGCTGGGTTTCCATGGGGTGCTGCAGGAGGAGCAATGTGTCAGGGGATGGGGACTGGCACGGGGGAGGACACTCTAAGTCTCCAGGGTCCTTTAGCTCACCCCCTCCTCACCTCTGCCCCGTGTTTTTCCTGGGACAGTCATTGTTGGAAGCCTGGGCACATTAGGAGGAATGAACCACTTTTTAGAGTTGAAGAACACAGACCCGTTGCATGTATTGGCGTCCTGTGGCCGTGGGGAGCCACATGAGGATGGAGTCTTCTGGCTTCGGGAGGGGTGGGTGTCGGGGGCCTCACTTGCTCTGCCCCTCTACCTGCTGAGCTCTTGAGTGACATCAGCTGACTTCTCCCAGCCATGGCTGCTTGTCACTCACCCAGGATGCCAGCCTAGGGGGCAGGTACAGAACAGGGGAGCTTCGCCTTCCTCTCTCCGCAGTTCCACCATGCATGAGCTGGAATCGGGGTTGAACCTCCTCTACTCCCTGGCATAGAACAGCCAGGCCCTGCGAAGCATCCCGAAGGTGCCACTGGCCTCATCTCATCCTGGCTTTGGTCAGAGGTGGTGAAGCGGCACGTGGACGGGCGTCATTTGTCCTTCCGCTTAGGCCACTGGCTGGCCCCGTTTCTGCGTCGGGCCCTCTGATCACAGGTGTGCGGTGTGAGCCAGGGACTGGCAGCTTGACTCAGGGTCTCGTTCTAGGCCCCAGCCTGGTCCTGGGCCTGTACCTTATGCAATGCTGGGTGTGCCCCTCCGCCGCCCACAGCTCGCCCCCTCCGGCATTTCCTTTGCTTTACCAGCTCACCTCCTGCCTTGCCCAGTGTCTGCAGTTTCTCTCCTTCCCCTCTAAGTCCTGACTCTGAGAATTTTCCGGTAGGTCTCTGCCCTGCCCCTCCTCTGCTCCTTCTGCATCTTGTGTCCTCCCAGAGCCCGGGACTCTTCCCTCGGCTGCCCGCTGCCTGCCCACGCATCCTGGTCATGCAGCCGTCGCTCAGAGCCCTCTGTTCTTCTGCCTTCCCTCTCTGTGCCCGGCGTCTGGCCTCTGACTTCTTTAGCCACCTGTCGTTCTACCTGTCATTGGCCTCATACCTTTGATTCCATTCCTGCTTCCCCTCTGCACATCCCATTGAACACCAAGTCAGCCAATCTCCACGCCCCCTCCTCCCAGCCCCCCTTCCGGCTCCTTAGCCCACCTAGAATGTGCCTGGTGCTGGGGAGGGGCCCTGAGGGTCCAGTCCTGGGGGAGCTGGGGTGCCCTCAGTCCTTGGCTCCCCCTGCTGGCTTGGTCACCAGGAACTGGCGGTCACCTGGACCTGAGCATCACCCTCCCGGGAGCCAGGCCGGCGTGCCTTGGGTCTATCTTCTGGAGTTGGGGCCCACAGCCCCAGCCACTTCCGTAGGAAGGCCCTGCTGCCTTGGCCTTGGGCTGATGGAGGCGCACTCAGCCGGAGGACATAAAGCCAATTTTTGTTTTCTAACCAGTGAATCTGTCTTATTTCTTTCCCCCCCTGAAAATAAAAATTGAATTTAAAGTACATACATGCACTCAGGACAGATGATTCTGGTTTTGCTCCCTGGCCTGGGGGGTGGGGCTGAGGTCGGGCTGGAGTGAGAGATTCCTGGGGTAGGGGAGGGTCTTGGGACTGGATTCCCCTTCCTCAAGCTACCTCCCTCACCCCACGACACAGAGACCCCTCCTGCCACCCACCTGGCCCGTGGGGGCTTTCCCGCATCCTTGGTGTCTTCAGCCATCAGGGCAGGGACAGGGAGGGAGGCGGCCAGCAGGGCTGTCAGAGGTGACAGGGCTTCAGGTTGAGCTTGAATTTCTTGCATCCGGACTAATTGGTGTGGTGACACATCCACCTATAAAAATTACAGAGTGGCTCACTCAGGGCCCCGCATCTGTGGCGAGGGGTGGAAGGCAGGGAGCCCTCCCGTGTGGGCTCCGCAGACTGCCGGCCAGGGCTCCAGGACCAGCCTCTCCCGCCGTCCCCAGAGCCCCGTGCTTCTTGGCCGGCCGCCCCCACCCAGGCCCCATGGCGGCTCTCACAGACCTCTCCTTTATGTACCGCTGGTTCAAGAACTGCAATCTGGTCCCCCACCTCTCGGAGAAGTTCGTCTTCATCACGGGCTGTGACTCCGGCTTCGGGAACCTGCTGGCCAGGCAGCTGGTGGAGCGGGGCATGCGGGTGCTGGCGGCTTGCTTCTCCGAGGAGGGGGCCCAGAAGCTCCTGCGGGAGACGTCCTACCGGCTGCACACCACGCTCCTGGACGTCACCAAGACCGACAGCATCCGGGCGGCGGCCCAGTGGGTGAGGGACCAAGTGGGCGAGCAAGGTGGGGCAAATGGCTTTTTCTTTGCGTTCTTCAGGTTAGCCTTCCCGACTCTGTCCATGACCCACAGCATCTGATAGCGCCCGGGGGCCTGGTGTCCAAAGGGTGGGAGAGGTGACGCAGGGAGCCACCCATAGCTGGCCGAGGAGGTGATTTCCTGGGAACACGTCTTTTCTCTCCCTGAAGCCCAGCGGGGGACAGGGCAGACTGGCAATAGGAGGGAGGGAAGGAGGGAGGGGAGAGGGGGGAGGGAAGGAAGATGCATTTTGTTTGTCCAGACGCGGCTGACAGAGGTGCCTCACCGTAGCCCCTCTGGAACACACCCACATCTCTGGCTGGGGTCACAGCCAGTTAAGCCTCCTGCAATGTGGGCATTCCATATGGGTGCTGGTTCACGTCTCGGCTGCTCTACTTCCTATCTAATTCCCTGCTAATGTGCTTGGAATATGAGCGGAAGGTGGTCCAAGTACTTGGGTACCTGATACCCACATGGGAAACCAGGATGGAGTTACTGGCTACTGGATCAGCCTGGCCCAGCCACAGTCATTGCACTTCCCGAGTGGGGAGCATCCGCTCTCCTCCCTGTCAGGCAGGGGAGCAGATTTTTTTTTAGATGTTATTTATTTATTTATTTATTTATTTGAAAGGCAGTTACAGAGAGAGAGAGGGAGAAACAGAGAAAGAGATCTTCCAGGTACTGGTCACTCCGCAAATGGCCAGGAGCCAGGAGCGTCATCCGGGTCTCCCACATGGGCAGGACATGGGTCATCTTCCGCTGCTTTCCCAGGCGCATCAGCAGAGAGCTGGATGGGAAGTGGAGCTGGCGTCGCAGGTGGCGGCTGAACCCGGCTGTGCCACAACGCTGGCTCCAGGCCCCAGGCCCCCGGCCCCCAGCCCCTGGCCCCCGGAGCGGAGCGGAGCGTGAAATCTTTTCTCTTCCTGTGTCACGCTGTGGCTGTTGGTTTGACTCGGGGAGAATGCCTGCATCACAGCGTCTGCTCCTAACTGGCAAAGGAGGCTGGGTGCCCACAGGACTCTGTCCAGCGACTTTCCGACACGCAAGGCGTGGGCGTGGACATGGATGCAGGGACGGGAGGAGCAGGAAAAGCGGGTTGCAGCCTGGGGCGGGTGGGGGCGGTCCTCGTCCAGAAAGGGGTGGAAGTGCACGGCGGGGCCGCAGAGCCCTGCTTAACCTTCTCTCCACAGCCTTTGTCGTTGTGCAGTGCACAACGCCTTTTACTCTACTTTTCTGATTTATCATAAATATTTGTTAAATGAACTAACTAATGAATAATTCAGCAGGGGTGAGCCTCTTTCCTCCACAGGCTGCCCGGCACCTCCCTCCCTCACCCCTGGGCCACACAGGGGAGTGACTCACCAAGTAGCTTAGTTTCCCACTGCACTGGGTGTACCTGTTTCAGGTAACAAATTACCGTGTACCTCATGGCTTAACATGACTCAGCTTTAGGACCTTGTAGGACAGAAGCCCAAGATGGACCTCCCTAGGCTAAAGCCATGGTGCTGGCAGAGTAGCGCTCCTTCCGGAGGCTCTTGGAGAATCCCTTCCGTTGCCTTCTCCAACTCCTGGAGCCGCCTGCATCCCTTGGCCCCCGGCCGCATCCTCAAGGCCACAAGGTTGGGCTGGGTCCTTCTCCATCTCTGGTTCCCTGGCCTCAGTCTCCTTGTCCACTCCAGAGGATCCTTGTGATGATACCGGGCCCCCAGGCTGATCCAGAGTCGCCTCCTCCCTTTAGGGCCAGTGAGGCGCAACCTTGATCCCATCTGCTCTTTCCCACGTAACCAACACAGTCACAGGTCCCCAGGGTGAGGGTGCGGACATCTTTGAGGGGCCTGGGGAGAGAGCGGAACGTGTTGGAATGTGCAGGAATCTTGGGGCTGTGGGGGCCAAGGACGGGGTGCAGTCTGGGGGGAGGGAGGGAGAGGAGACAAGGCTGTGGGATCACGGAACCCTTGACTGAAGGAGCTGGAAGGGGTCCATGAGGACCATTTGGAGGCCCTGCCAGTGACTTTGGCATTGCCCTCCCCGCAGTGGAGTTGGCCTTGGAAGCTCCATGTGTAAAGCAAATGCAAGGAGAGCCACCCCGCACTTCCCCCTGACTTGCAAAATGCAGGCTGGATGCAGGCGCTCTCACCCAGCCCGAGACCCGAGACCCGAGACCCGAGACCCATGGAGGGGAAGTCACTCGCTCAAGGTTGGAGGTGGAGCCCCAAACCCCTGCAGAGCTGGACAACACTACCCAACATCTCTCCTGCCCTCTTTATCCCAACCCAGTTTAAATATCTCAGCGAGTCCTTTTCACCTTTCCCATAATCATTTCGTTTGAATAGGTTGTGTCTTTACCTACACATTGTTCTTCTCTGGTGTGTGAGCCCCTGGAGGGAGAGGTATGTCTCCTTGGTCCTGTAATTGGCAGAGAATAGAATGAAGGTGCGGATGGATGAGTGGCTGGCTGTGAGAACGAACGCATGGAGGGAGGGACTGATTTTGGTAACGTGAAGTGAGTACATTTCTTGTGCTCTGGTGAATAGAGAAGGGGAGGATTTACACATGAATTCACTGGGATGACAAGGACACTGCTTAGCCCAGAACTAATAACTTGGTGCTCTTAGCTGAAGCTGGGACTGTGGCCTCGACAGAGCCCCCGCCGACCGGCAGGCTTTATGTGAATGTCCCTTAGGGAGAAGACTAGTAAAAGGCTGACGCGCTTTAGGCTGTTATAGCTCCACACCCCAGGCCCCAAGCCAGGTGCTCTTGTATCTTTATTTTTTTTAAAGAATTATTTATTTATTTGAAAGGCAGAGTTAGAGAGAGAGAGAGAGAGAGGCAGAGAGATATCTTCCATCTACTGGTTCACTCCCTAAATGGCTACCACAGCCAGGGTTGGACCAGGCCAAAGCAAGGAGCCTGGAACTCCATCCAGGTCTCCCACATGGGTGCAGAGGCCCAAGCACTTGAACCATCTTCTGCTGCTTTTCCCAGGCCCTTAGCAGGGAGCTGGCTCAGAAGTGGAGCAGCCAGGACTGGAACCAGCACCCACGTGGGATGCCCGCATTGCAGGCAGTCTGCCCCTGTCCTGTGTTTTAGGCACCTGCACTACCTTTCTCAGACCCTAAGCTGGCAGGTACTGGATAAGCACTGTTGATTTTCTGTGGTTCTTTGTCCCTTCATCTCATTCCCAGGCCTCTGGGCCCTGGTGAACAATGCAGGTGTGGGCCTGCCCAGTGGTCCCAACGAGTGGCTGACCAAGGAGGACTTTGTGAAGGTGATCAATGTGAACTTGGTGGGTCTGATTGACGTGACCCTGCACATGCTGCCCATGATCAAGAAGGCCCGGGGCAGAGTGGTCAACATGTCCAGCTCTGGTGGGCGTGTGGCTGTCATCGGTGGTGGCTACTGTGTCTCCAAGTTTGGTGTCGAGGCCTTCTCTGACAGCATCAGGTGACTGGGTCCTAGGGTCACCCCGCTCTGGGTGGGAATCCTGGGGGTTTTACCTAGGGAGAAAGGGTCAGGGGGGATAGCGTGCGGGCAGGGCCATTCTGGAGGGAGGAAGACAAGACTTCTAGAGGCCTTCTCCAAGGACCAGGCAAAGAAGGGATGAGAAGAGGGGGCTGGAGAGCCACCAGGTGGGTCCTCTCTGGTGCCATCCCAGGGTGACTAGAACCCTGTTTGGGCCCACGGGTGTAGGACAGAGAGGCCTGGGGGCACAGGTGCTACAAGGGGCCCTTGGAGGAGTCTTCTGTGTAGCCCTTGTATAGACCGTGTCACCCCAACAGCCACGTGGGTGCTGGGTGTGGGGCCAAGAGTGGGAGGAACTGGTGGGTGTTGAGGTCTTGGCCTCGATTCTTTATCGGCCTCCTCTGGGCTGGGTTTGCCTAACACAGTTGCTCAGCCTCTGCGGGGCCAGGCTGGGGAGGGGCCCAGCCCTAAGGAAGGGCTTTTTCTGCTTGAATGCAATGAGCGGGCCAGGGTGGGGAGAGCACTGTCAGTTCCTGGAGAGACAGGTCCCTCCAGAGAGATGGCTATCCCCTTATGGCCCAGTTTGAGTGTGACTCTTAATGTCCCAGGCGTGAGCTCCACTACTTCGGGGTGAAGGTTAGCATCATTGAGCCTGGGAACTACCGGACATCCATCCTGGGCAAGGAGAAGCTGGAGGCACGCTTGCGAAAGCTGTGGGACAGGCTGCCGCAGGAGACCCGGGACAGCTACGGCGAGGAGTACTTGCACACCTGTGAGCTGCCCGGGGGGGGGGGGGGGGGCAGTGGGGGAGGGCCGGGGACATTGCTGGCATTGCTGACAATTGTTCAGTGTCCAGATGAAGGGTTGGAAGCTCCCAGGGGTCCAGAGCCCAGGGCACACAGCTAGTGGCCAAGCTGGGGTGTTCGAGAATGGAGACCAAGCAGTGGCACCATAGCTGCTGGGGTGATGAGGGGATCAGGAGAGAGACTTCCCATACTTGGCATCTACCACCCCACCCCACCCCGACCTCGACACCGTCATGCAGGTGAATGCCGTGACAGCGTGCCGAGATGAGTGGCATGGCTCCTGGAGCCGGGATTCCCGGGTTCAAGGCTGGTACTGCCAAGTCCCAGCCAGGAGACATCGCACATGTGTGGTGTCTTCCCACGCCGCTGTGCCAGTGCACTTTCCACAGCCATAACAGCCAGGGCTGAGCACTGGATAAAGAAAAGGAGCTTATTTAGCTCAGAGTGTGACAGATTGAAAGTTCAAGATCAATGGTGGCCCCACTGGGCCCGCCTCGGATGTGGGCTTCATGCAGGTGGCATTGCGGTGGCAAGGGCTCATGGGGAAGAGGTCACAGAGCAAAACACGAAGCCGCCTGGCTCGAGGGTCAGCTGGGCTTTTTGTAGCAACTTGCTCCGTGGGGACTAACCAGGCTCCCTGAGCAATGCACGAATCTCTTCGGAGGTTGATGCCCCAATGACCTCATGACTTCTCGGTAGGTCCCTCTCCCTAAAGGTTCGCCCACCTCCCAACACTGCCTCCCCAGGGACCGAACCTCTGGGGGTACACTCTCAGATCATAGTCCAGTCATAGCAACCTCAGTTTTCTCATCTGTGAAATGGAGCTAACGACAGCGCCTATTTCACAGGGTGGCTATGAGGATGCGTAGGTGGGAAGTATCTCACACCAAGTGCTTGTTAAATAAAGAGGAAAATGAGCACTGGGTGTTTAAAGGGAGCTTCCCGTGCTCTCCCTGTGCTGAGGGTCACCCGCAAGCCTCAGGTGCCCTTGGAGGGTGGATGAGGGACAGCTCCGCTGCCCCCTGCCCAGTTTAGTGTGGCTCTTCCAGTGGGGGCGGGGGCAGCCGCTGTGGCGCGTGGTAGTGGGAGGCCTGCAGGAGCAGGGGAGGAGGAACTGGTCCGAAGGCCTGATGGAACATCTCCTGGTGAGGGAGAAGCAGAAAGCCCCGTAGTCACCGGCAGCTTCTGACTCAAAGCCGGCCCGTGTGGTTTCAGCGGAGGATGACTCGCAACACCTCCCAGCTCTCTCCAAATTTGGCTCCACTGGCCGGGAGGCAGAGCACCCCTAAGAGTCACCCCAGCCGCCGGTACCTGGGACAACCTCTGCCCATAGAAGCAGGTTCCGGCTCACAGTGCAGGCAGCTCCCTCGGCAGTCGCAGTCGCAGTCGGCTGTGGGCTCTCACAATGGGGCCGCCACCAGCCAAGAAGCTGGGCTGGTTCTTGGAGGGCTCGGGAGGTGTGCCACCCCCCCAAGCCAGGTCAGAGCAAAGCAGCCGCACTGCCAGCCCTGCCCTCGCTCCCTCTGGACCTCAGCCACGTCCCACATTTCTCTGATCTGTTTTTTGTTTTTTTGTTTTTTTTCCCTCTCTCACTTGGGACAGACTTTTCTGTCCTGGTCAGGTTCTTAGGCTTGGAACCAGGCCACCCAGGTACGCATTCCAGCTGCCTGCTCACCTGGGGGAGGAGACTTAACCTCCCAGTACTCTCAGCTGCAATGAGTTCTGAGAATCAAGCAAATGAAGCTATGTAAAGCACACAGACTAGCGCTGGCCCCTGGTGACCACGGCGGGTTTAAAAGCTGCGTAGTTGGTATTATCTTTGCTTGGACTGAGTGAGGCTTCCTTCTCTTCCAAACGCTGCCACCTACACACTGTAGGTTCCAGTATTGCAAAGAGAGATTTTTTTTTTTTAGTATTTATTTATTTATTTGAAAGGCAGAGTTACAGAGAGACAGGGAGAGGCAGAGAGAGAGAGAGAGAGAGAGGTCTTCCATCTGCTGGTTCACTCCCCAGATAACTGCAATGGCCAGAGCTGTACCAAACTGAAGCCAGGAGCCAGGAGCTTCTTCCAAGTCTCTCACGTGGGTGCAAGGGCCCAAGCACTTGGGCCATCTTCCACTGCTTTCCTGGGTCATAAGCAGGCAGCTGGGTGGAAAGTAGAGCAGCTGGGACTCGAACCACACAGGTGGCAGCTTTACTTATTGAACCACAGCACCAGCCCCCAAAGAGAGATCTCGAAATCATAATTATCTGCAGACTGAAGTGATGAATCCTTGATGTACACACAGAAACACTGGGTGAGCTGACTGCAATCACTCAATCAGGTCTGGGGCAGGTCTCCAGCCACCCCGGGGTTATTTTAGTAACAGATTCTCCTGGGTGCCATGCATCAGTGGAGCTCAAAACCAAGACAGCCATTTCTGCACTCAATACAGAGTTCAAGGGGAGGCCACCGCCTGCGGGGTGCTGAGAGGGGCTGCAGAGTAGCTGGGAGCCTCAGACAGAGCTCAACGAAAACAGACTTAATGACCCACGTGGCTAAGGGCCATCCAGGACAAACACAAGGCCTTGAATGACAGCCAGCCACTTGAGTCCACAGTGGCCTAAGACTGCGTTGGGGGCAGCATTTCTATCTTCTCATGTAGTTTTATTTATTTTTTTTTAATTTTTGCTTGCCATGAAGCACTCACACATGTTTATGGGGTAGAATGCAATATCACAACACATGCGCACCGCATAAGCCAATCAACCTTGCCGTTCCTCTATCTTTGTCTATCTGGGGCCTTGCCACTCTGTATGCAACCTATAATTCCTTATTGTGAACTACAGCCACTCCACCGTGCTGGGGAGCACTTGAACTTGTGGTGACTTCTACCCGATGGATTCTGGTGGCTTTTTTCCATCATCCAGTATGTCTATTTCTGAATAACATTTTTTTTTCTTATGCGCTTTGGTAGAAAACGTGGAAATTCAGGAAAGGGCACAGAAGGAAAACAGACACTCTGCAGTATGTGAGAATCCTATCAGTGAGACAGGGTTTTCCCTTCCTCCAATTTTCCATGCACACATATATATGTTTGCTCCTGTCTTGCCCCCTCATCTCCCTGCCTTGCATCATCCAAGCATTGCTGTCCCCACTTTACAGACTGTGAGAGTTTAAACTCAAGGTTTTGTAATTACGAAGTGGCACAGTTAGAGGAAGAACCAGGCACAGCTCTCATCGCGGGTCTAATGCAAGAGTAGGAAGTCCATGCACTGCACTCGGCAGGAGAAATACGATTATTTGCTATAACCTGACAAGTGGCTGTTTGTGAAAGGTCAATGCCAGGGGTGGTTGGCAGAGCCACCTGAGACATTAGACCCAGCAGCTCAAGGAAACGGAGCTTGGATGGCACTCAGAAGCAACCACCTCGGGGCCGGCGCTGTGGCGTAGGGGTAAACAGCCGCCACTTGCAGTGCCAGCATCCCATATGGGCACCCGTGCAAGTCCTGGCTGCTCCACTTCCCATCCGGCTCTCTGCCATGGCCTAGGAGAGCAGTAGAAGATGGCCCAGGTCCTTGAGCCCCTGCACCCACATGGGAGACTAAGAGTAGGCTCCTGGCTCCTGGCTCCTGGCTCCTGGCTCCTGGCTCCAGGCTCCTGGCTCCTGACTCCTGGCTCCTGGCTCCTGGCTCCAGGCTCCTGGCTCCTGGCTCCTGGCTCCTGGCTCCTGGCTCCAGGCTCCTGGCTCCTGGCTCCTGGCTCCTGGCTCCTAGCTTCGGATCGACACCGCTCCAGATATTGCGTCCAATTGGGGAGTGAACCAGAGGATGGAAGACCTCTCTCTCTCTCTCTGCCTCTCCTTCTCTCTCTGTGTAACTCTGACTTTCAATCTTAAAAAAGAAGAAACCACCTTTCACAAACAGTAACAGACCCTTTTGTGTTTGTGCCCTGAAACAGATACCGAGAAGTTGAAACACATGATGCAGCTGGCAGAGCCGAGATTCAGGGCCGTCACCGACAGCATGGAGCACGCCATTGTCTCCCGGAACCCCCGCATCCGCTACAACCCCGGCCTGGATGCCAAGCTCCTCTACCTCCCCCTGGCTAAGCTGCCCACCGCGGTGACGGACTTCATTCTGAGCCGCTACCTCCCAAGGCCGGCAGACAGTGTCTGAGCTGGGCAGGCTGGAGCCGTGGTGGGTGGAGTGTTGAGGAGGCGGTGGGGGAAGGGACGACACGGTGGCAAGCGGGGGCCTCGCCCGTCCCGGGGGTACTTGCTGCTAAGGACACTTTGCTAGGCTGATGCCCACCACCGGCGGATTGACCTGTAACTTCTAACAGAGGAGTGGCTGCCTCTGCCCACACCCTGGGGCCCAGAGGCCGGAAGTGGTCTTGGCAGGCTCAGAGCGCTGCGGCGTGGCAGAGGACGTCTTCCGCCTGGAGAAGTCAACGAGAGGAGACTCACCGCCTGCTGGGGTGCAGTCCATTGGGAAACCCGGAGAATATGGCCCCGGGGGGACTCGAACCCCTTTCCTCCTGGGTCTGCAAGCGCGCGCTAAGCCCGCTCACATGGCCTCTTCCTGGAGCAGGCGGGCAGTGCGAGAGTAGGTCGGACAGTTTAAAAAAACGCTTTCTCTCTTCAGATTTCTCTTTTCATAGGTGATTGGGCTCCGCATGAAACAACATTCGTTTATTTGCTCACCATGGATGAAATATTCAAATATTTATCCAGTGCCTACTACCCATGAGGCACTGCATAGTTGCTGGGAGGTGGAATGGTATAAATATGATTGAATCATTGTCTTTTTTATGATTTGTTTGTTTTGTTTTAGCACAATGTCTGGTAGTAGGGATAGGATGAACAGTGATAGAAAGAACAGAAATTAGAAACTACATTTTTAGAGAGATCATGGATGCCATCGCCCAGTAACTTCTAGATGGAGCTATACATCGTCATCACCCAGTGAACTAAAGCTACAGCTCCGTGGGCCCCAGTGTTAGAGTGATCTGATCCAGTAGGCCTGAGAGCGAGCCCAACAGTGTGTATTTGCACCTACAACCTGGCTGACGCTGATGCCTTAGGGCACTTGGGAGCCACTGATAGTTCCATGGACAAAATAACCAATGCTCAGAAGACAGAGGGGTCTACCCAAGGACCCCAGCTCACTGGCCAAGGACAGAGCTCAGGTGTTCAGACCCCCAGACCTGGGATCCTTTTTCCATCGTCAGAGAATCAATTGCTTAAATTAGGGACACCATCAAATGAGTCTTGGAACTAATTCTTTCACAAAACCTTAAATTTCTGGCGTAAGTTCTGTTGAAAATACTTTTTTGATCTTGACGAGTGGTCATGTAACAGAGGTCAAGTTTGAATTTTTTAATTAAAATGTCTTGAACTTGTGTATCCGCAACATCTGGTTGAACTTGAAAACAAGAATGTGACTTAATTATATCCATAGCTAAGACTATTTTTCCAAATAAGATAACAGTCACAGGATCCAGAAACTAGTGTGTAACATATCGTGTTTTTTTTCTGGGGAGGGGGGTACCTTGCAACCCACTACTGTCTACTATTTGCAGTAGTTCTGTTCATGGTATCAAATTCCGAATCAGGAAGAATGCATTAAGCAATAAGCAACAGAAAAGCCAACCCACGCTGACTCCAACAGTGGAGCACCGACAGGACCCTGTGGCTGACTGCTGACGTCAGCACCTGGGCTCTGTCTGAGTCTGTGCTCCGCCATGCAGCTGCCATGAATTCCTTAATCATGGGACAGGATGAGGGTGTTGGGGAACTGGTCACGGTGCCTACTGCCTCGGAAAATTCAAAACTCAGACCCACGCACTGTTGAGAAGGTTACAGAGGCCCAAAAGTAATTTTCTTAGTTGAAGACACAAACACTTTATGAAGGAAATCAGGACTAGGAACTACTTTGAGATCCTAACGTATGCTTTTCCGCAGTTCCTTGTTTTCTCGCTTCCTCTTTCCCCGCGGAAGTGGGTAGCCATTGGCACTTCACGACCTGGGTGAGATGTGGGAGAGGCCTGGACGCAGATTTCCTCCAGCTTGAGTTTCCCCGACTGCAGTATCTTTAGAAAACGTGCAGAGTTTGGAGAAAGAAGCAGAAGGGTGTGTGAGCTGTGGGTGTCCACACGTCTCAGAGAAGCAGTGCCTTTCCCCTAACGCAAGGAGAGTCACTGGCCCATGGGAGAGGAGGGCAAGGTTTGGGGGCCCCAGAGCACGAGGGACCAGGGCTCACTTTCTGGAAGCACCTCTGGGAGTGGCACGGCCTCAGGGAGCCACAGCTCCACCATGCGCTTAGGCAGACCCCAGACGACCTCACAGACCTCGCGTGCTCTGGTGAAGCTGGCCTGAATAGAAAGGACACGAGGTCTGGGACGGAAGCTATTTAAGTGGTAACCTGTGCATTTAGGTGGAAGACGTCATCATTAATAGTTGAAGGTGGGGGCTGGCACTGTGGCGTAGTGGGTAAAGTCATCGCCTGAAGTGCCAGCATCCCATATGGGCACTGGTTCAAGTCCTGGATGCTGCACTTCCCATCTAGCTCATCGCTGATGGCCTGAGAAAGCAGTAGAAGATGGCCAAAGTGCTTGGGCCTCTGCACCCCCATGGGAAACCTGGAAGAAGCTCCAGGCTCCTGGCTTTGGTTGGCCCAGCTCCAGCTGTTGCAGCCATTTGGGGAATGAACCAGCAGATGGAGGACCTCTCTCTGTCTCTTTCTGCCTCTGCCTCCATAACTCTGCCTTTAAAATTAAATATATAAATCGTTGGGGGAAAAAAAAAGAAAAAAAATAGTTGAAGGTGATGTGGCATGGGCTTTTTCTGTTTCCACGAACCTTCTAACCTGCCTTGCTTGGGCCCCTCTTCCAGCTCTTTCCCACAGGGGCGGGGGTCAGCTGCCCTCCAAACCTCCTCTCTCCCATGGGCCAGGCTTGCCCCCCCTCCCCCCGCTGAGTCTCAGCATGTTCCCCAGCCCCCAGTGGATCTCAGCCGAAACAAAGGGCAGCAGAAAGAAGAAGGAGCCTGGAGTAATATGAAGGTCATTGAACTATGGCCGGCCGGCCTGCCCGAGACATTCTCGAGCGAGAACTCCCTCTGCATCAGTGCCGACAGGTACAGAGACGGCTACAGCCAGACTTGGAGCAATAGACACAACGTCCCAGTCGGAGTTTCTGACATGAAACAGGCAGGGTAATGACTGAAGAAATGTGTGTAAATATACTTCTTAGCCAAGGACATCTTCCAATCAGGAGGCAAAAAAGGAAGTACTGCTAGTCAACAATTCTTGAAGGCAGAATGGAGTCTCCACCTAGGAGACATCACTGAGGGCCCCCAGCTCTTCTGCAGCATTCTGGTCATCGCAGGCATTTGATGAGTCAACCAACTGATGAAAGATTTCCGTCTGCCTCTGTCTCTCTGCCTTTAAATAAATAAATACATCTTTTTAAAATTTAATACACTATTTTAGCTCCTCTGTTGATTTTTTTATTTGCTTTTTTTTTTTTATTTGACAGGTAGAGTTATAGACAGTGAGAGACAGAGAGAAAGGTCTTCCTTCCATTGGTTCACTCCCCAAATGGCCGCTACGACCGGCGCTGCGCCAATCCAAAGCCAGGAGCCAGGTGCTTCTTCCTGGTCTCCTATGCAGGTGCAGGGCCCCAAGCACTTGGGCCATCCTCCACTGCCTTCCTGGGCCACAGCAGAGACTGGAAGAGGAGCAACCAGAACTAGAACCTGGCGCCCATGTGGGATGCCGACGCTGCAGGCGGAGGGCCCCCTCTGTTGATTTTTTAAAACTGTTTTTTAAAATACTTATTTTATTTATTGGAAAGACAGAGTTACAGAGAGAGGTAGAGCCAGAGAGAGAGAGAGGTCTTCCATCCGCTAACTCACTCCCCAGATGGCCACAATGGCCGCAGCTGTGCATATCTGAAGTCAGAAGCCAGGAGCTTCCTCCTGCTTTCCCAAGCAGGCGCAGGGGCCCAAGCATTTGGGCCATCTTCCACTGCTTTCCCAGGCTATAGCAGAGAGCTGGATTGGAAGAGGAGCAGCTGGGACTCGAACCGGTGCCCACATGGGATGCCAGCACCGCAGGCTGGGGCTTTAACTCGCTGCACCACAGTGTCGGCCCCGAGTTTTTAAAACTTTCAAGAAATGTTATTTCCTCAATGATTGCTCTAGAGAAATGGTTGTCAACCAGGGACAAGTTGCCCCCCCAGTCCCACCCGAAGGCACTGGGAACATGGAGACATTTTTGGTTGTCACAGCCTGGGAGGGCCTTCCAGTTCCAGACAATGATCAGTGTTGGCTTTGCTTTCGGCTCTGCTCCGATATTGCATTGACTGGTTTCCAGGCTGCAGATCGTGAACTAGGTTTCTGGCTGGTCTACTGCTGGCCCAACAGGCCAGAGGAGCTGTGTTCCCTATTGTCTCTGTTCCTTTCCTACCGAGTTTGCTGCTTTTACTGGTAAGGCTCTGGTGTGGTCACTTCTGCCTGAAATTGAGCCTGCCCCGACTGGCAGCAAAGCTGTTGGCTTTCCAGCCAACCCTGCACCTGCAGCACTGCCATCTTGCCGCACAGGGTAGGGACAAAGGGAGTGGCCTCAGCTGGAGAGGCCAGATTTCTGCCATCTTGCCTGAAGATCTAGCCGTTTTCCACAAATAAATGATTCTGAATTTGTCGTTCACCTGTATTTGATGTCAGAGTCCCTGACCATTATCTTTGGGTCCTCGCTGTGGTGGCAGCTTCTCCCTAGCACATGAGGTGTCCCCATTTCCCTGGCTTTCCTACTGCACCTTGCACACTTGTGTGGATGCCCAGAGAATTGGGCAGTTTGCTTTCTGGAGCAATTCAACTGTGGTTTCAGTGAGGTGCCCTGGGAAGGATTTGCTGTAGATCCGCTCCTCCTCGTGCCAAAAATCAGGGACGACCCTTTATTCATTCATTGAGCTGACACTTGGGGTGAGCCATCCCCATACGCTGGTTCTGTGCCTGGGGTTGCAGACGTGGTGGTGAAATGCCTCAATCTCCATCTTGGAGGAACTTCCAGTTCTGCGGCGTAGGACAAGGAAATAAGTACTTATAAAAAGCATGATTTGCGTAATGCTGAGCGAGGAACCATGTGTTGCAGGAACTCATACAAGGCAGGGGCAATTAGTCTCGCCTTGAGGGATTGGAGGAGGCGTCTTGAAAAAAGAGATGTCTAGACGGACACTAAGGCATGAGCTAGGCGGGAGCCAGCTTGTTAACTCTATGAGATATTCACCACTGTTCAAAACTAGGCAAGCTTAACTCCACCTCTCCCCCAGCCTCCTCTGCTTTGCCTCCTTGCCTCACCCCACCCCTGTAATCATTGTGTGATCTTCCAGGAACACCAGCTCATTGCATGTGCATTTGAGCCACATAGATTTAGCAAGGCAAGTATGCAGCAATAAAAACAATCGCTGACTTGAGGACTGAGCAATCAAGCCCTGAAATTCCTGGCAGCCTCTGAGCATGCTCCAGAAAACCAGTTGACGAGGTTTTTTCCTAAGAGCCCTACTGGCCTGGGGGTGGGACTACACAGCCCTGACCTTCCAGACCAGGACCAACCACTGGGTAACTGGCAGGCCGGACTATTATTATCAGCATTGCTGACAGCAGTAGTAGGACTGGTGTACCACGCTGACTTATTTCAAGCAGAGACATAGAGATAACATAACAATGAGAATAGAGTTTATCTAGTGAGGTTAAAGAAAAACTATACACCCAGAGACACAATGGGGACAACACATGAGGAAAATTCACACCACAGAGGCCTGCCCCCACCCCACTTTTGTGGTCTCCTTTCTTGGGTAGGGGCATACCCTGAGTATACAAATGGGGTGGAGCTTGGGCTGCAGTCAGTGCCCACGATGATCTCTGGGAAGGTTTTATAGTGTCTCTACGTGGAGTTCAGCATACATGTGTTCAACATGGCGTCTTCTTCATGGTGGAGGAGGCCCAGGTGCATCATGGGAAAGTGGGTGTGCTGAATTGGCAGGGAAGGGGGTGGAGTCAGGGTGCCAGGCCGTGGGCCAGAGACTGCGGGAAACCTGTCAGCTGCTTTGTTCCTCACTCCTTCCCTGCCTAGCCCACGTCCCAGGAGAAGTACTGCTTTCCCAGGTCATAAGCAGAGAGCCGGATCGGAAGTGGGGCAGCTGGGACACAAACTGGAGCCCAGATAGGCTACCGGCACCGCAGGCGGAGGCTCAGCCTACTACGCCACAGCGCCAGCCCAAATCACGTTTGTTTCAAAGCCGAGTAGAAATGATTTCTTGAACTGGTGGTGCCATAGATAGCAGGCTGAGGTCCTCACTCAAATGAGAACAATGGTTCCTAACACGCCGGGTAGAGTTAAG